ACATATTATCAAATAGTTCACAATCAGAAGTTGATCGATGAAAAGTGGCTGCTATGCATTGACTCTGAGCTAAACATGCTACTTGACAATTCCTAATGTTTGGTGTAATAGTGCTAGTGAATGGTAAACAAGTTGTATTCGCACATTGAAACTTGGAATTAACCATTAAAGACATTTCCACTGATCGAATATCTTGTGCGATTGATTGTGCAATAATCATAAATAACAGCCATAAACAAACTCTTATTGAAGCCATCACCAACTAGACTGTAAGTTGATGAAATGAACTTAACTCATAATAGAAAAGAAAGTATTTGTTGAGCAATGAATTCTATTTTTGAGTTTTGTTTATTTCTCTCTCTTTTTTTCTCTTTTCAGTATGTAGCGAATTTTTTTTTCTCATTTTATTTGATCAACCCAATGAAAAACATGAAGAATACAGTCGATCTTGAGTATACAAACGGAGTTGACTGATTAGACGACTTGTTTGATTAGACAAAAAAGCTAAAATAAATTCTACAATCTTCTCAACTCAAACTCACTGCATCTGGGCTTTTCGAATGTGTATAACAAACAGTATAACGATATTTTGAAAATCTCTCTTTTATTTTTCTGTCGTATAGTTTTTACTCTTGCGTTTCTGATTGATAGGAGAATATTATGACTTGTAACTGAATAAATAATCACAACTTTCTGTATAATGTGAAAAATGATTCAAACAGTTACGGTTAATGTCTATGTAGAATAGTGTTAATTCAGAACAAAACAAATTAGTTTTCTAGTATTCTAAAATAACTCCTTATCATAACAACATGTTCAAAACTCTCTTTTTCTCGATGAAAAGTATTGATGCAGTAAATATTTAATTTATTTTTCTTTCTTCTTCTTTCATTTGTATACTGTTATGATGTATTGTGTATTTTGTATGCAAAAGAAAAAAAAATTAATTGAAATTTTTTTCCAGTAAACATCTGTTGGTTATAATGACAATAACAAAAATTTTGTTTTATTTATAAAAAAAATTAAATGTAAATAAATAATTACGGTAACAAATGCCAATCGTCTGAAAGCGGAAAACTGCATCTCTATGATTACATTAGAAAAACGACTAAACTACGTTGTTTCACAAAAAAATTAAATGCAAATAAATAATTACGGTAACAAACGTTAACTTTCTGAAAAAAGAAAACAGTATCTACTTGATTACGATGCAAAAACGATCCAACAACACCGTCCGTTTGAAATCAAGTTATAGAGAATCAAAAACGATACTCTAAGAGTGCCTATAAGTAGTCCTGCATGAATTTCTATACTTTCGTGAAAATACGATATTCAAAACAATAGAAATAACAAATGCGATTTTCTAATTACAAAATTGAAAGTGAATACAAATCAGCACTTTCAGAAATTTGTATTGTATTTAGCAATTGGAACATTTTCTATAAATTTCCGATTGAATTTTTATTTCAATAATAACTGTGTTGTATTCGATAACAATTGAATAATTTTTAGTATTTGTATCATTAGATAGGCATCAAGTGTTTCCTTAAAATAGATACGATAGAATTAAATTATGAGAATCATACAGTAAGTTAAATGGTTGATGGAATTACTTACATGATTTGATAACAATTTTTTGGACTGTTTTTAAAATTTCAGAATTAGATACTCCAATATGAACAACAGTTGATCTTCTAAAATAAAAATAAGTAATGTAAATACAAAGATTAATACAACGTATTACCTTTAGTAATATTTTCTTTTTCTTGAATTGTTCGGATTTTTGACCAATTTTGTACAATTTATTGTCAATGCCTGACCAATATCACCTTCAAATGCATCTGATTATAGGTTGAGTGCACGAATAAACTGTTAATGAAACAAATAAAAACTAAATAAATGTATGTATAGTACAGAGCTGGGCAAATTACTCGAGGATATAATCCGAGTTTTTGATTAATTAGGTTTCATAAAATAGACATTATGCTCTTATATCCTTCATGAAAGAAGCGAATTTTCAACGTCTCCTCATGTCGATTGCTTAAACATATGCATATATATAGAGCACAAAATCGTATTACAGTCATCAAATCCTATTTCTTACGTTCTCTTTGTAAATTCATTCAATTTTTTTCGATTAATAATACGTTGAATGTATATCACTAATATTTAAATAATATATAAATCATTCCATCTTTCTTTATTTTTTAATAAATAATTCGGTCCTTTAGAATAACTAATAGTTATTGTTGTTGTTGCTTTATACGCCTTATTCGAATTTATCGATTAAAGAGCATTTTAACGAGAAATACATATTCTGACTATGTGTATACATCTATGCGTTCTTCTTTCATTTTCTTCTTTTTCGTTCACCATTCTCCTCTCTTTGGACCGCTCATATATATATAGGCCATTCTGTTTTTTTCTTCGTCCATACATATACTGGTTGATCACGTTAATTTTAATAGTTTTTCATGATTTGTTGTATTTCAGCGAAACAATGAAAGTTTCGTATTCTAGTATAGTAAGATAGAGCATCACTTACTCTATCGAACCATACTATTTGCATTATATTCTCTTTAGCTTTATATAGAAAAACCGGTTGATCTCTAACAAGTACAAAAAAGCGTTTGCACTTTTGTTTAAATCAAATTTTTTTGTTTTTCAGCATGAATATATATGAAAAGAAAAAGTACAGTTACAAACGATGTTCGATATGACAACCTCGAGCATTATATATCTTCAAAACTCTTTTCGGCTATGAAGCTAATACTCTGTTAATAAAACTTGGTTCGATCTTTTTCCATTCAATTAAAAGTTTTGTTTGATTCGTCCAGAGATTTCTTTTTCTGTTTTGTTTAGTTGTTGTTCCAAATATCTCCATATTGCATAATCCATCAGTGCAGCATCAGGACTACCCTGTATCCATTGTTCTAATTTGATATAATTAATTTTGCTTTTGCGCCTACCGTAAAAGTTGCAAGATAGGTCCTTCGATAATATCGGAAATTTTATAATGTGGCATTTAGTTAAAACGTATTTAAACGAATTGGCCCAAAGACGAACCATCTGGCGGCCATTCAAAAGGAAGAAAAAAAAGTTCAATATATAACGTGTACATGTCCTCACGAACTTCGAAACTAATTTGATTATATATAGTAAAAATAAAACAAAATCGATTTAAACAAAAGTGCAAACGTTTTTTCGTACTTGTTAGACATCAACTGATTTTTCTATATAAAGCTGGAAAGAACATAATGAAAATAGTATGGATTGATAGAGTAAGTGATGCTCGATCTTACTATACTAGAATAAGAAACGTTCATTGTTTCACTGAAATACAGCAAATCATGAAAAACTATTAAAATTAACGTGATAAACCTGTATTATTTGGTGAATGGTAATGTATTAAGAAATGTGAATGATTAAATAGTTTAATTACATTTAGAAAAAGTTTATGATTTAGTTCATAAAAGAAAAAGTCATTCTGTCTATATTGATCAATAAAGCTCAGCACTATTGAGAGAACCACCGTTGTTCTGTCCACCAGCAACTAATACTAATCCGTTTGCTAATATGGATGCTGTATGATATTCTCGTGCGATACTCATGTTTGCTGTCACTGTCCAAGTGCTTGTTGATGGATTGTACAATTCAGCACTATTAAGATAGCTACCACTGCTGTTCTCTCCACCAGTAACTAATACTAATCCATTTGCTAATGTGAGTGCTGTGTGATATGCTCGTGCAACATTCATGTTTCCAGTAGTTGTCCAAGTATCTGTTGATGGATCGTATAATTCAGCAATATTGACAGAAGCACCGTTGTATCCACCAGCAACTAATATTGATCCATTTGCTAATGTGGATGCTGTATGATAATCTCGTGCGACACTCATATTTGCTGTAGTTGTCCAAGTACCTGTCGATGGATCATACAATTCAGCACTAGTGAGATAACTAGCACCTATGTCTCCACCAGTAACTAATACCAGTCCATTTGCTAATGTGGATGCTGTATGATGTTCCCGTGCAATATTCATGCTTCCTGTAGTTGTCCAAGTGCCAGTTAATGGATTGTACAATTCAGCATCATGGACGTAGCCCCCACCGTTCTGTCCACCAGTAACTAATATTGATCCAT